AAAACCTTTAAAATACACACAAACAAAAAAAACAACCCAAAAAAACAACCAACGTTATAAAACAGAAGTTTTTTCCAGGACAGAAAAAAATAATAATTTAAAAATAGAATCCCTGACATTTCTCGAATGTCATTGTGCGGTCATCCTGGAAAAAGAATCCCCGCAAATATAAGACCCGGCCCAGTTCTAACGGTGGCTGTCTGCAAACAAAACTTCGACAATCTTTCGTGTGGGTGTACGGAGAACGCTGTCTGTCATAGAGCTTGTGTATTACGAAACGACTTCTGCGTGATGAGGAACAAAGGCTGTCAACTTATTAGTTCTCACACCGCTCCTCTTCGTGATGGTGCACAGAAAATAGTGAATTAACATCGTTGTTCCTTTCTTTTTCCAGCTGGCAAGTTTTAACCTTTTCTTTCTGTTATAGAGCAGAACTCTTTTGTATCTAAAATCCTGAATTTTTATTCCAATCTCTCCTTCTTATTCAAAGATGTGGTCGGTCCCACTTCAAACTTTCCCCCCTTCACAGTTAATGAAAATAAAGAAAAACAAACAAACACACAAACAAATAAACAAACAAACAAGCAAGCTAACAAACACAAACAAACAAACAAAACTAACACCGTTTCTTAACGTTTTCTTTTTTTTAAACTCTCGAACATTTTGAGTAGAGCTGGGCGAGGATTCAATTCCGGAACCGATTCCTACGATTAATGCTGCGGAAGAGAAGTTCCGACTCCTTTTTACATATTATACAAACGGTTACCAGTTACTGTAATCATTAAAATGTTGTTGTTTTTTTAGAATTCTAAACGTTACAGGGACAGATCAGGGAAACGTAGCTTTTTTGAGAGCTTTCGAGCCTCCTCGTTATCAACTTCCTCATGATCGCCAATGTCTGTCGCAGATCTGGCACTGGATGATGATGATTTTTGAAGAATAAAAGTTGATGTTTCGTAATGTTCCGAAATCAAGGTTATCATAAATCTTGAAAACGTTCAGAGCCAATCAGGTAACCACCGGGAGAAATCACATCGTTAGGAAGTAAGTAATTGGGTTCGGAGTCGATTCCAACGATTCCTAACTTTCACTAATCGGGAACCTAGCCGCCCAGCCCTAATTTTGAGAGCACATGTGTAGGTGCTTGCGAGTGTGTGTGTGTGTCAGAGATAACACCTGTGTGCGTGTATATGTATGTCTGTGCGTTTGTTTGTGTGTGTGTGTATGTCTGTACATATGTGTGGGTGTGTATGTTTATGTGTGTATAAGTATGTGTGTGTGTGTATATGTGTGTGTATTTATGGACGTGTGTGTGTGTGAGTGTGTGTGTGTGTAATAGGTGGTTAGTAGGTGCTCTGATGTGGTTTGGTCCTGCTTTCTTATGAGCATATTATACCATCGTTATCTCACCGTCTTTGTACGTCACTCTAAAGTAACACCTCTAATCTAACATGATCTTTTTGTACTGCAAGTGTCATAAACCTCATACTAATTCTAAAATGATTATGATACAGAAAGAGAGTGAGTCAGAGATAGATAGAAAGATAGATAGATAGATAGATAGATAGATAGATAGATAGATAGATAGATAGATAGA